ATGGGTCTGAGCAAAAAACCCCCAAAAACATATTACTTGCCCTTTTTACTGAAAGTTGTGAAGGGCCCGTTACCTTTCTACCATCAGATCATTTTGCAATTGTGTGGGTTTTGAACTGAGTTGTATTTCAATATAAGCAAGTATATTTTGATTTTAAAAAATACAGCCAACCAAGAAATCAAATGAAAAGTTGCTGATTCTCAAACCAGCTGCTCCACTAAGATTTTCAATCCTAAAATCCAATCCAGTCCAATCCTAGGCAGGTAGAAATACACTGAAATGCCTTAAGAACAGCAATAAGCTTACAAAAGTGTAAGGGTCCATTCATTTGCCCATAATTAGGCATCTATGTAGCTGTCTTTATGCTTCCATTTCACAACTCCAGTTGAGTCGATTCCCAATCCTTACAGAAATGGCTTGTCAGGGACCATCACAGAAAGTGTCTTGTGATACCAATGCCTGCTGATTATACAACTACATCCCAGTCATGAAAGGACTTCCCAATGATCTCTTCAGTATTTGTTTAGAGTGAAAGACAGACACCAAAGGGCTCATACAAGACCTTCACTATTGCTAGACTGACCCATAGTGTGGCTAACTCCTTCCTGTGCTCCAGGGTTGGATGCCAGTGATGAGGACACACACACACATACCAGCAGCCTCTGGCTGGGAGAGAGGGATGTTGTTTTGGGTCGAAGGGAGGTGTCTATTTCTTCCTCTATGTGTAGCTCTCTAAACAAAAAGCCCACTGTGAAAACAGGTGAATTTCACCTCTGGCTTAGCCAACAAGCATGCCCACTGGTATCACAGTCTCATACCATGGCAGCCCACATCAGTTATTGTGAGCTCGGTGTTCCATTATCCATGCGAGGCCTTGTGCGTGGGCTGTATGCCAGCCCTGAATCTGGCTCCTTGTTTTCCTGCACTTCCCACACAAAGCTGCTAGGCCAGGATAATGCTTTTCACAACTCTTACAAAAATAAAATGGCTTAAATTTGTTTTTCACCCATAAGCGTAAAAAAAGCAAAACAAACAACAACGTTTGCTGGTGTAAGACTTTCATGCTCGTGCAGTTAAGTACAAACAGCTTTGATCCAAGATGTGAAATCTGGCAATCCAGTCATTCATAATGCAGTTCAGTTCCTTTCTCCATTATTGAGGACATCCAATAAAAACTGCATTCATAAGGATTTTTCTCATTATGCAATGGCAGTGTAAGGTATGTATAGTCCCCAATACAGCAGCCTGGCTCCCATTAATGCTAACAGAAGTAACTTTGGTGTGCATCAAGGAAAGAATGCATCTCCATAAATGCGTATTTCCATGACTGCCTTACTATACTGTGACACTGAAATCAAAGGGCTTTTAATCCAGCACATTCTTTGCAGTGCCAACAATTTGTGCAGTAAGAGACCAAATGGTAGCTATGCTCCTGTTTATTCCAGGACAGATCTGGATGCCAGTAATCAGAACATCTTTGAAAAATAGTAGTAACATATAGTGGAGGTAACTTTAATGAATACAAGTTTAAGGAACAGGTCTGTGAAAAATTATTTATTAGAGCTTCATTAAGGTAAAAATGCAATACAAACCCTACATAGAAAGAATGCTGGAGATTTTTCTTCTTCGAACCAAACCAAAATATGTTCTATAAATACATAAGTGTCTTGCTAAATAGGGATCAGTTAAGAAAAAAGAAAATGCCTTGAAGAATAATCTTTTGTTAGAATAAGGTTACTGTTTAACAAGTTACCTTCTATATAAACCAAAAATAAATCCACTGTATTAATGGCATACTATTATAATACTTGATAATTTAAATGCAGATTATTTGAGGAACAAGGATACATCATAGTTTCACGGATATAATATTGTTATGGATATATTCTTTCCATTTTACTGGACAAGAATGCTTTGATTTGTGATTTGTGAACCAAGTTTTTTTCAAGAACTTCATCTCATCCAGTGAACTCAGCAACAACAGGGATCTATAACTAGTTGTAATTTAGACAGGAAAATAGAGTTTAATATTTTGAGAAGAAGATAAAATTACAGCTCCAATTTAGCCTTTTGAGTTGATTAGGTAAATTAGACATTGATAAATATCAACATGTATATTTCTGGTTTGCTTGTTTAAATCCTAATTTTGAACTATTGCCTGTTTAGATGCATTTTATACACTCTCATTAGGATGGATGTTCAAAGTAATTTTTGCTTCCTAACTGAAAGGACCTAAAAAAAAGAAAGAAAAAAGATGCAAATGAAAACATAGCATTACAAAGAGTGATGGTACACTGCAAGGGGAGAATTCCTAGATAACTGTGGTCTTGGAATTTGGGGCCTCAGGTTTCCTAACCCAGCTCTGGGGGCAGGAAAGGGATTTTCAGTGCCACATTTAGGAAATAGTGTCCATGTTGGCTTACATCAGCTTCCCTCCTTCTAAGGTCTCTTGTTCTGTTTTCAAAAGATAGAATTGGCTCCTTAGAAAATTTGTGGTTGGAACCATTCTCATTACCCTCTGAATGGAGAGAGTATTTTCTTTGGTTGATTCAGAGGAAAAATCTTCTCCAGCATTTGTTCTTGTAGGGTTTATATTGTGTTTTTACTTCAAGGAAGCATTATACATGCAGGAATTAACATGAAATACATCTTTCTGTTACAAAGAACAGGGTCATATCTGCAAAGAGAAAATATGTTATATTTGTTATATTACAAATATGCCATCATCTGTAGCCACCTTTGCTTTTCATTTTTTATATCAGGCATTCAAAAGTTGTGTGTCTATGGCCACAAACCATTTGTACAGACTTTGGGAGTTGATTGAGCTCCAACTGAAATCAGTAGAAGTCAACTTGAATGAGATCTGACCAAAGCCCTTTTGCATATGACAGAACCTTGTAACGCTGTAAGCAGCAGATAACTTGGATCTTCTGATAAAGTAAAAGATGTAGTAGTAAGTCATCTTATTACATACTGTATCTCGATATATAGTAAAGGCTGCAGCACATTTTGGCTACCATGTACTTGGATATGGGTTGGATATACTAGTTAGCTGTGCCATGACAATGATAATTTGCAGAATGGTAAACTAATTATATTCCTTATGTGAAAAAGATGCTTCAAAATGCTGTCACTTCAGGGTAATGGCTCATTCATTAAGTTGTAGAACAGTTGAGATAAAACTATCATTTGCTCATTAGAGATTATAAAGACTTAAAAGATGATGCCGGATCAGTTGGTATAATTGGCTCTCATCTTCTTGCCTGGAGGCTGTTCTTATTTTTATAAAATTTGGAGAGAGAAATAAAATAGGTAAAATTCATTTGAACTTTGGAGAACAACTAACTGCTACCACATGTGGAGTGGGTTGCAGAGTATAAATTACAACAGTGATTCTCAACCAAGGTGCCACATACCCTGAACTGCCACAAGATTGTTTTAGGGTTGCCACTCAATATTAATACTGCTGGGTATGCAAACCTGCATGTGATTAACAAGATAAACTCGAAGATTTGAAATAATAATCAACTCAAATATGAAAATATTCTCACCTATTGTGTTCTGCATTCTTTGCAACAGAAGAATTGCTGTATTTTTTTTCTGTAGTCAAAAGACGAGCAAAAGGTAAGGGCTAACATTTTCTGAGGTATGCCTTGAATCTAACAACAGATGCATTGAGTCTAACAAGGGTGAGAATCACTGACCTACTACCTTACTGTATAAATTAATTGCAGGGAGTGTAAAATTCTAAATTAGTGTTTTCTTCTGGATCTCTAGTTTGCATATGTAAAACATATCTAGTAAGTGACAGATATCTGCTTAAGTGAGCAAGCTTCATATATTGCAAATGTGTTATTTGGACTATGAAGGAAGGGCTTTTTCCCCCTGCAGATGTGCCATTATTGATAATATAGGGCAGGGGTGCTTAACCTCTGGCCCGCTCAATCTCTGGGCCAAAGCCATCACATCTGGAATGCAGGGCTCTCCACGAGTCTGGAATTTTGGTAGCGGGGGAGCAATGGCCATTAATATAGACACCTTCCTCCTGCCAAATCCCTAAAACCTATTTCCTGCATGACAAGTCAGAGCCATGCTATGTCCCCTTCCCTCCCTGTGGCACCAGGTTGAGGCCTGGCCATGCCCCCTTCCCTCTCTGTGGGGCTGGGTTTGGGCCTGACCATCCCCCTTCCCTTGCCACTGGACTCCTTAACCCCGCAATGAAACTCCTATCTCCTGTGGAGATGCATTGGAGCTTGCCTACCTCCTGTGTAGCCAGATGGCACATGTGGGGTGGCCAACCTGGGTGGCGGATCTGGAGCTGTGGCTGGATCCAGCCCGTAAAGAGACTGGGTGCTGCTAATATAGCCCACTGAGCAAAAAGGTTGGTACCACTGATATAGAGAAATCATAGGAATGCTAGTTTTCAAATTTGAACATCTATTTGAGTACGTAGATTAACATTTAATATATAAAATGGGCATTTACTCATATAAATATCAGTTTGTGCATCCATATAATAACTGTGTGTTTTAACACAGCCCTCTAAGGGCATTCTGTACCCTTGATTATGATGAGTAGCAGCTTGCTTCACAGGCAGTCCCAATTATTTAAATTGCCAATTATCCTGAGTAAATTATTGGAATATGCCCTTATGTCTGGAAGCCATGTCCAATAGAGTCCGTAATAACATCTTTTAAAAAAATTAAGTTACAAAAATTAGCATATAAATGTTAATTAGTAAGGAACATTTTTGCTCATTTTAAGTAATGAGGGATTTCAATAGGAAGTGGTAGACTTTATATCCAGTGTGAATGGCAGAAGTCCTTAAACATCAACATGAACACAACTTTTGCCTGCATTGTTCACAATGAAAGGAAAAGAGTCACTTTCAGTATATTTTATATATTGTGGATATTACAAAAAAGTCAGTATTACGGACACTTCCCAAAACAGTTTCCTGTAAAACATACAGTGTAATTTAAAAGCAGTCACAACATAAATAGGTATTAATGTTTTCTTTATTGACTAAAGTTTCAACTCCACTAGCCTTCCCACCTCAGTCTTAATTGGAGGAGTTTGAGACTTCGTAAGAACAGGATTAGACAAGAGCAAACAGATAAGGAAACACGAAAGGCTTACTTCTCCAGGTCCAATTAGTAATTTCAACCCTCTAAATAGAAAACATTTAAAAAATGTAGGAAAAATACCAGCCTTTCCCCTTCCTACATACAGGAAAGCACAGTGTTCATTAAGAGCAATGAGAGTTGTTTACTGACTTAAACACTGAGAAAGTTAAACATCTTACTTCACATATTTTCTTTAGTGAAGCTGTATCATAAACCTTTTACACAATTCACTAAGCTAAATGAGAATAACTACTTGGACAGCTAGACACTGCCTATCATTGACTTAGCAAAGTAATGCTATACTACCCTGGGATAAAACTGCAGGGTGGTAAATTCAATTTTGTGCTTTATTCCACTAGAAGATATGTTAGAAATCCTTGAAAGTATAAAACATAAGCAGCTTGCCATAACATCACAATAGAACTGTGTTACCATAATTTAGCAATAGAATTTGCATGCAGTTCTTGTATTTCTAGAAACAGATATTGGCACCTGACTACTAGTAATATGTTTCTAACGTGTGCTTCTTCAATAAGGCAATTCACGTTGACTTGTGTCAGTGTAATGGGGCATTCTTAGCTATTTGAGGCCATAACACAGTTAATGAGCATAAAAACAGAATAAACTATCATTGTATTTATGAGATCATTAGAATTTAGAATTCCAGGTGTTGACATATATCATGTAAACATTAGCCATTATTACATTTCTACTCCTGAACTAAGCAAAGCTAAATTTGTTTCATAAATCACATTATAGCAAGTCCTAAAGAATAAGAGACTCTGTATTCCACATGGAAATGCAAATTATGATAGTCTACTGTCACGTATAAAATATTTTTATCAAAAACAAAACTGCAAAGCATGTATGGTAAAATAAATCAAATGCAGTTCTTTCAAACTGAGTATATTGGTAACATATAACTAGGATCCTAAACTAATTGATATTTACGGAGCTCTTAAAAAGAAACAGCTCTCCATATGTTTTGCATGTTGAAATTACAACTAATGTTTTAAGGTTTTTGTCTTTTTCTTGCCGCTTCCCCAGCCTCCGCTGAGCTGGACTGGATGGTCCCGAAATGATATCCGCTCCTTATGAAATGGACTCCAATGTGGTTTGTCTGAGGTAGAGATGTTCTTTTCTATATAATCAAACAAATGGCATTAAACTATAGGTTCACTTCAGTCAAATTAGGTTATTTTTAATACAATAGAATAAAAATACAAATTTATAAACATGTCTAATTTGATATCATATAGTTATATATGTATTAATATACATTTTTGCATTCTGTATTTGTGGTTTTCTTAAAAGTAATTACAAGGATAAGAAAGCTAATGGCAGTAATTTTTGAAGGTATACTACTTTCTGAAATAAACTGTGTTTATACTGAAATAATTTTAAATACAAATGAACACAAACAAACAGAACACAGAGGCATCGGCCTCATAATTAGAGATGAGATGTCTTTTGACTATGTGAAAAACAACTTTGGAGATTTAACCCTTTAACTTCACTGTTTTGATGCACTGACAAACTAAATGGGCCAGACTTGCTACAATAAAGCAAAGACTTCAAAGAAAGATTTGCCATTCATTCGGATGAAAATGAAATTGGCTCAAAAGGCAAATATAATGCTGTAGCTATGAAATAAACCCAAATTTTGAGATTTAAAAAATAGCTTTCTGTAATATTTATACATGTACCCGAATAATTGAACCACTGGTTTTTACAAATACGCAGCTTAAAAGAAGATTAGTAAACTACAAAGCATACAGAACATACAGCTGAGAAAGTAAACTACAGAGCATTACAAAAGTATAATCATTTAAAGTAAATTACCAGTTTACTGATAAGAATTTATTTAGCTATTCTAGATATCTAAAATTGTGTAATCTTCTTTTACACAACAAACGTATTAAGAGAGAAAATGAGTGTACATAGTACAGCAATTTAATATACTTATTACCACAACACCTCAGCTTATGCAGGCACAACAGAATTTTACAAGTGTCTTTTTGCTAGCTTTCAATAGAGCCTTTTCTAGTTTATGCTTTTGGGGCTGTACATATTTTAATGCAACTTTTAAAGAAGCACTGAAAATAACAGTTTGAAATAATTGGAAATAAGAAAATAAGACATCATTTTAGCTGATACAGTTTTATATTTTAGCTATTTTTATATTTTATCTATTTACTGTTTGATATTTTTAGCTGAATTTGGTTTTGTGTGTCAAGAAATCAGACCTTAGCTACTTCTTTTGGAATCTTATTCAGCGTATAATTCTCCTTTCTAATTGCAGCCCATCCCATCTAATTATATCTTCTCATACTACGCTAAATAATTCACTCTTCTTGATTTTAGCCTTGTTTTAGATGCGATCCTTGACTTTTACTTGTGATTTACACAAGTTTAGTTTATTCAATCTTTTCTCCTAATTTGTATCTAATCTTATGGCTAATTAACATGGTGCTAAAATGTCAGTGGAACCTGCTAGTTCACCCTACATCAGGACTCCCAATATTGTTAACTTGAGGTCATCTTTACTCACAAAGGTAAGAAATTTGAAGAATGTCTCTGGCATAGAGATCCTCTTTGTAAGGGAACACAGAGTTGTTTCATTATTAAAACAAATATATTGTGAACATTCAGGGAACCTTTACAATTGAAGCCAAAAAGTATTTGTAGAAGAGACTCCAGGCTGACATTGACGAACTGGCAAATTCAATAATTTATTTTGTGAATTTTCCAATTAAGCTTAACTGGAATTTAATATTATGTGGTTTGCTTTTCTCTCAATCTAGAGAGGTTCTGCTGTTGGAGAATTCTTGTGCTAAAAATAAAAGCACAAAGACTTAAGGCTATGGAACATGCCTTGTTTGTTTGTTTGTTTGTTTGTTTCCCTGTAAAAACAAGGAGATAATTGTTGAATGTTTAGACTAAAAAAATAGTTTGAGGCTACTTTATGGGTGAGACATTATTTCTCCACTACTTATTTAACATGCTGTGGCAATACAAAAAGGTAAAGTCAGGGACTAATTATTTCTTCCTTTATTTTAACCCTGGTTTTGGGGGGGGAGGGAGGGGGGGGGGATTTTTCCTGTTCCATATTTGTATCCTTTTTAATCTGAAAACCCCCCAAAACAACTGTTATGGCAACTACAGAAATTAACCCAGATGGGGCAGAATTCAGGAAAGCAAAATTTGAACCGCACACTAACTGCATATTCTGGATTTTTCTTGGACTATTAGATTTGCCTGTTTATAAACTTCTGTACTGTTGAATTCGATTTCCAGTGGAAGGACTCCAGAAATCTCTGTATGGTGGGTCTCTCTTTTCCATCTATGAATGCTCATTATTCAGTGGAAAGGATACCACTACATTTCCATTGCTATGAAACAGTATTACAAAGTGGTATTTCAGGGTTTTTTTTCAGAGGTTTGTTAAAATTTGCTGTAAAGATACTAAATCTTACCAGATTACTAAGATATATCTTTTTATTTGGACAGACAGGAAATGGCTTGCTCTTTTCCAAAATTCCCTAGACTTCAGAGTCAAGAGTTCACAGATCTATTTTGTGTTTTTATTTGTGACTTTTTTATATTTTTGATAGAACTATAACAAATTCCTTTTTAATTAATAGGCAGACAAGGTTCCTTGGGTGAATTTGATATCTTTTATTAGACCAACCCAAATGGTTGGAGAATAGTTATTAAGCAAGCTTTCGGGTTCAAAAACCCTTCATCAGGCTAAGGAAGCTTCAGCAGTTGGTGTGTGCTCTTCCTGGATATACATTTATTATTTCTTAGACTTTGTAAATGGTATCTGAACAAAGCAATATTTCAGGGTACAGAGAGAAGCAATAACTGGATCAATACCAAATGATAATGCTATAAACTGTTATGATACAACTGTTATGTCTGTATGATTCTGTAGTGATAAAAACTGTTGCAAAACCATTACAATGTTAACTGTTTCATTCAGGATTTGGCTAATTTTTAGTCCTAGAGGATCATAAGGCCATAATAGTCAAATTGTAACAGCTGATTGCAGCAATTTCCCAGCAGCATCTACTCCTCACCTTTTATGTGTAATGTCTGTCCCTAGCTTAATGTCTCTCGAGGAGAGACTAGAGAACCTGGACCTTTTCAGCCTCCGCAAGAGAAGGTTGAGAGGCGACCTTGTGGCTCCCTATAAGTTCATCACGGGGGCAAAGAAGGGAATTGGTGAGGTTTTAATCACCAAGGCGCCCCCGGGGGTTACAAGAAATAATGGCCACAAGCTAGCAGAGAGCAGATTTAGACTGGACATTAGGAAGAACTTCTTCACAGTTCGAGTGGCCAAGGTCTGGAACGGGCTCCCAAGGGAGGTGGTGCTCTCCCCTACCCTGGGGGTCTTCAAGAGGAGGTTGAATATGCATCTAGCTGGGGTCATCTAGACCCAGCACTCTTCCCTGCCTATGCAGGGGGTTGGACTCGATGATCTATTGAGGTCCCTTCTGACCCTAACATCTATGAAACTATGAATCTATGAATCTATAAACCAGTTTAAGTGATCAGAAACTGGTTTAAACCTGTAACAGAACAGATGTTCAGTGCATAGAAACCAGTCTGAAAATGGCTGAAAACAGTTTCCGATAAACCTGGTTGAATGTGGCATCAGATAGGGCTGTGTGAAACTTTGGCAGCTATTTCATTTCCGGTGCCTGAAACACCAAATTCAAATCGAAACAGAAGGCTCCAAAACATCTCCGAAACCAAACCAAACCATCTGAAATGTTTCAGAAAATTTCAGAGTTTTGGAGCCGGGCTTGCAGGGAAACAGAAACTAAGAAGAAGGAGGGGGAAGAGGGGTGGAAAGTCTGCTCTGATATTGACATCTGTAGCTGACCAGTGTCTGCATGTGTCTCTGAGGTCCCTTCCAATCCCAGTGCTCTGGGGGAGGGTGGCAGCCTGCTGTCATTCAATGCGCAGATCCAGGGGCCCGCACCCCCCTGGGAGGAGTCTGGCACAGCCCTGCAGCCCTCCCGGGGGGACACAATCCCCTGGATCTTCCTGTGGGGCTGGGGTCATTGCCAGCACCTGAGTCTGCTGGGAAGACTGATGCCGTGGCCCCTGGATCTGTGTGCGGAATGATAGCAGGCTGCTGCTGCCAGGTGGGGCCAGTGCCAGCGCTGGGTTCTTCCAGCGCTCAGGTCAGAGTGCACCAAACAGACTCAGCTGGCAGCAGCCGCAGCTCAGCTGGCACAGCCGCATGCTGTCATCCTGCATACAGATCCAGGGGCCCGCACCTCCGGGGAGGAATCTGGTACAGTCCCACAGCCCTCCCGGGGGTCATGGGCCCCTGGATTGGCATGCAGAATGACAGCATGCTGCTGCTGCTGGCAAGTGATATGAGTTTTGCTTTGAACAGTCTGAGGTGCAGTTTCACAAAAGACTCTGCACCGATCTCCTTGAAACTTGGTGGGCCAAGGCTACCATGCCTGCAATTACCATCCGAATTAGGCAAGAAATGACAAAGTTACAGGCATTTTGTTGAACCCCCATTATAGCCTATGGCCAAAACACTGAAACAGTGTCAAAACTCTGAAACAGATTCGGCTGAATCGAAACAGGACAGTGATCCGAAACACCAAAACGACTCATTGTCCCTCCAAAATGCCGAATCCTAAACTGAAATGAAACATAGCCATTTCAGACAGTCCTAGTATCAGACTTAACTGATTTGGATCAAACCGATTTATGCAATGTTTGTCCCAGACCTTTTACTGGTTTAAGTTAAATGAGACACCCCCAGCATTCCAGTATGTTCTCTGGGCTGGGCAGGGCTCTCTCATCCATAGCAGGGATGACCCTTCCTCTCTGCCCCCTGGCTGCAGCTCCAGCACAGACTGCAGGCTGTTCCGCTCTCTCTGCCTTGCTGAGGAGGTGTCTATGTATTAGCTAGCACAAGAGTGGTGCCTCCTGAATCGGGGGGGGAGGGGAGGGCACCTGCAGAAGCTGCCAGTGGCAGTGGCCCTGTCAGGGTGGGGAACCAGCCCTACCGACAGCGTCAGTGTCCGCCATCAAGGGGTCACCGGCCCCTTTAGGGGGGGCACATGCAGATCACATGCTGGCTACGGTCCCTGCTGAGTCAAGAGG